CTTCGTCAATCTACCGGAGACCTCGGGCTTGAGCAAGACTTGCCTCAGAGGCTTATTGGTGAGGGTGATGATTGTATGAGTTTGGAAGTACGGTCGCAGTTTCTGAGCTGCAACAACTAGCGCGTACGCCAAATTTTTGATCTCAGGATACCTCATCTTTGCTTCCTACAACACTTTGCTAACATAGTAGATGGGTCGTTGGACCCGATCTACTACTTTTGTTAGTACCGAGCTAATTACCTCGTCACTCGTGGAGAGGTACAGCTCCAAAATGTCTCCCTCCTCGGGTTGGATTAACACCAGGATACTAGCTGGCAGTGGCTGCGCTCCTAGCTGGCGTCGGACGGGATGCCTGAGAAGAAGAAGAAGGTGAAGGGTCCCGAGGGGGCTTGCGTGGCGGGAACACTCCGATGCTTAAGTTAGTAACTGGGAGAGAAAGCCGGGAACTGAAAGAGAGAGTTGTAGGGAGAAATAAAAGGGCTAGAGTGCAGATCTCGCAAGTTGCAATACCTTGGCTCTTTGGGGGTCAGAGCTCTTATATAGTGGTGTCCTGTCAAATCAGGCATAACCACCTCTGATTCTCTGCTGCAACTATTACTTGCCAGGGCTGCGCAGGTAACTGTTGTAGAGTACGGCCCTGCCAGGCGGGGGACACCTCTCAGGGTTGGTAGGCACGACACCGCCTGGCAAGAGACGTGGGTGCAGTCTCCAGATTTGGTAGGTGCGGTTGTCAGACAGGAGATCTTCCTATGATACGTCGAGCTGCTCTTCCGCGAGCTGCCTTATACCGAGCTACCCTATGCCGAGCTGCAGGTGCCGTATCGAGGTGCTTTTACCCGAGATGGCCTACTTAAGTTTGGTCTAGAGTAAATTTATTCTAACTTAGGAGGCTCCCGAGCTCAACCCGAAGTGCCTTGAGCTCGGGAGATTCCTGTCTTGGGAGAATCTTAGCTCGGGGTGCTTCCTTGGAAGAATCTTAGCTCGGGGTAATCGGAGTGTCATCTAGTACCGAGCTGCTACGCTGGATCTTGGCGGACTGGTCGCGTTGAGTTGTCACTTATGCTGAGTCACGTCCACATGTCCTCTTATGATGTGATCGGGTCAAATCACCCTCCATCAACATCCATTATAATAAAAGTCTATTTGGTAAGAAGATAAATTTGTAAATGCAAAACTAACATAATTTTACAATTTATATGAACTATTTTATACTCTACATATTTGCATTCACACTTAGAAAAGCCCATAGTCATCATTTCATTCAATGTTCTTAGCGAAATTGTAATCATAGATGCACATTAGACCCATAAACCTATTGAAGAAGTTAAATGGTTCAATTCGCTACGCTGATAACGTAGTGGTTAAGTTGGTGTATTTTTATAGGCAAGTAGCTGAGTGGTAAATGGACTTAGAATTTTGTTCAAGTGACAAATTTATTAGTCAAAATTAATTGATTTAAGCATAGGATAAAAACCATTAATTAAAAATCAATGTTCTAAAACTCAATTTAAACTATATTTTAATCTAATATGTCAATGCGACATTCATAAATTAAATAATAATAATAAAAAACAGGTAGTTTTAAATACAAAACAAAAATTAATGTCTTACACATGCCCCAATTGACCTAGTCAAAAAGGTCAATTAATATCGCCATTTGGTTGTTAACCAAGGCAATGTTTTTTTTTTTTTTTTTTCTGAAAAATTTGTATGGGTGATTAGGGATGGCCACGACCTGAGGTTCTCATGAGCTATTCGAGCTCGGATTGGCTCGGTTTAAATCGAACTTCAAGCCGAGTTCGAGTCCAATATATAGGTTCATTTGCTAATCGAGCCGAGTGAAACTCGGCTCGTGAGGCTCCCAAGCCTAATTGAGCCTAGTATAAAAAATAAATAATTTTTTATTATATACATACATACATACATACATGCATATACATATAAATATATATAATAAATAATTTTTATTATATATAATAATATTTTTTATGTATAAATAGTAAATAATTTTTATAATTCTTATTTTTTGTATGTAAAATAAAAAAAAATATTTTTATATGTATAATTTTTATTTTTTAGAAAATGCTTGATTGCAATCAAGCTTGAGCCGAGCCAATCTTAAACTTACAAGCTTTTGAACCAAGCCGAGCTCGAGCTTAAGTATCCAGCTTGAATCGAGCTTGAGCTTGAGCTCGAGCCTAATATTATTTCAGCAAGCCGAGCTTGAATAACCAAGTATTTGGCTCGGCTCAGCTTGAATCCTCCCCTATGGGTGATAGGTCAACAACTTGGCTATTTGTTTTAACCACAAGTAAAAAAAAAATATCGATATAAAATACAAATAAAAAGATTTGAAACTAAGTCTAAGTTGCAAGACAATAAATTCACTAGTACACCATACTTTGATTACTTGTCTTTGTTGCCATAAGATCTACTCTATAAGCACAAGTGTGCAAACTTAGCTGCTATATGCCAATTGCAAGTCAACATGTCAACATTTCGCACACATGGCTCAATGCATAAGGAACACCAATGTGTTCACTCATGACTTGTTACACAAGATTCACACACTTATTGATGGAGGGTGATTTGGCCCGACCTCGTAGCACAGGGACACGTGTGTGTGACCTGGCTCGACGAACAACTCAGCCTAACAGCACAACCGTGACTCGACAGGAGGGACCCGTCGAGTCCAACATTGGCCACTCGCCGGGGACTAGCGCCCGGCCAACCTTTACTCCCACCAAGTGTGGGAGATCCCAAACCCCTCTCAGGACCCGAACTCCTCTCAGGGCCCGAGCTCCCCTTGAGACCCGAGCTCCTCCTAAGGGGCCCCAAGCTCTCCCTTCCTAAGAAGGGAGCACCCTGGTTTTTGGCTAAGTGTCCCGAGGGAGAAACACCTCAGGGCAGCACCGTCGAGACTCCTGTTCGAACTTGCTTAAGGCCCGCCTCCAGTGTGGGCACCTCGGCGTACCTCGGCACCTTGGGGTGCAAGGCAAACCTGCCCCAGGTGGTTCGGCGTACAATAGCTCAATAGGCTACAGGGAGATTTGCCTGACATCCGTGCTTGCCTGACATCCGTACCTACCGGATCCGGTGGCAGGGCTCGGATCCCTTGCTAGGCGGCGTTCTGCTTGCCGTCTCTGAAAAGAATGGCACACCTGTTGAGTCCATACCTTTCAATAGCAGCTTGTAGCAGCAACCTGCACCTGCCACACTTCCCTGGAAGTAACGGCTAGGGCAGTGGCGGTTATGTCAAATGTGACCGAGCTCCGATATAAAAGAACCCCAACCCTCACGAAGCAAAGGTATTGAAGCTAGCACTTTCAGCACTCTTAACTCTCTGTATCTTCTTTGAGTTTTCCCCAGAGTTCTAACTTAGCCATCGGAGTGTTCCCTCCGGGAGAGCTCCCCAGGAACCCTTCATCTTCTTCTTCCTCTCAGGTGTCGTCCATCACAGCTAGGAGCCAACTCTCGGCCAAGTAGGAGTGCCCAGATTGTGCTGCATCACTTGTGTTCGCACTAAATCCACACTTGTCTTTCTTACGCAGGTTCTAATAAGAATATTCAAACTATCATTATCACAATTTTTAATTCATCTAATTCCCTTTCATTAAGACCTATGATTAAGGTATTAATTCCTATTTTCTCTCATTAGATCCTATATTTAAGCTTTTTTTTTTATTTCTTATCATGGAATCCCACTAATTTTGTATAAAATATTTGCTAATTAAATTTGCAACAAATACTAAAATATCCACCAAACTTTGCAACAAATAAGCCCTAGTCGGTAGAAGGAATGCATTAAATTACTAAAATACCCACCGAGCTTTCATTATTTTTTTCCTCACCCTTTTCCCTTAATCCTAATTGACCTAAAAATATCTCCATTTTTTCCAAACAAAACCAATTAAAATAACAAGAATAATTTTGTTGACATAGAAAAACAAGTTTATCTAAATTCGTGTTTCATTTTGTTGACATGAATGCCTCTATTTATCTAAAAATATAAAAATTATCTACTCCTTTCTTCAATATCAATAAATTAAGAAAAACCAAATGGAACCTTATATTTATATCGATGAGAAAGAATCATCTACCATTTCATATGAATATTGAATCTACTTAGAAATCTTCAAGGACTTATTAGAGCAATCAAAAGGACATCAATATTATATTTAAAAAATTAATCAAATAATAATTCATTTAAATAAATAAGAAAATGATAATTTAAAGATTTAAAAAGTTTTCTGTAATTTATCTATTTATTTGGGTCATGGTTTTCGAAACCGAATAGGAACAGGAAAAACCGGGAACCAGTCACTTGACCGGTTCCGTTTTTCCCCAAAACTGTTTTTTTCCCCAAAATTATTGATTTTGGTCAGCAAACTGCTGAACCGACTAATTAACCGTTCGAATAATTTTGACCGTTTTTCAATTTTTTTAATTTTCTTTAAATATTTTTAATTTTTTTTGTCAAAACAGGTCGACTGTTTGAGTCGAACGGTTGGATCGCACAAACCAGTAACCGGACCTCTAACCAGTTTGGTCACCGGATCGGTTTAAAAACCATGATTTGGGTACTTGAGTTGGACGTTGAGTGTTGATTTTTTCTAACACAAATCGATGAAAGGTAACATCGTGGTCGTGAAATGGGATTCAGTCAGTGCAAAGGCAGCTCAAACAACCACAATAGCCTTTCATTGGGAATATCTCCCCTTGAAATAAAGCATAGAAGCACTGAGATGTTCCCGATGCAAGGCTGTACAGTTCGAACAATGTTAGAACGGGCATTGCACTGACTGAAGTTCTCTACCGTGGTCGTGGGCTCATTCGTCGACAAATAAGGATACAGTTACTTGGATTTTGGAGTCACGCCCCAATGACTTTGGAGCGTGGCTGTCTGGCTGTCCCGTCCTTCGACAAACTATTTTATCAAATCCAATTTAATAGAGATTTCGAGTCCGGAATTTGCCAATAAAGGAGAGAGGGAGAACACCTCCACTGTCACACTGGTAAGAACCAGAATAGCCAACGTAGAGAGAGGGCGAGAAAGTCTCCTCAACTAGTGAGAGAGATGGGTGGCTGGGCAATTGCCGTGCATGGAGGCGCTGGTGTGGATCCAAACCTCCCACAAGAGCGTCAGGAGGAGGCCAAACAGCTCCTCACCCGCTGCCTTAACCTAGGCACTTCTGCTCTTCGTTCTTCTCTTCCTGCTATCGACGTCGTCGAACTCGTGGTATCCATATTCATCTTACCATCCCTCTTCTTTCTCTTTCTCTTTCTGTTGTGATTACCTTTTCATGCTTAATTTCTCCGTTGTCGTTTCATTTTTTTTCTTTCTTCCGGGCCTTCCGGCAACGGCAAAAAGAAGAAAATAAAAAGAATGTCGTTACCTAAAGTTTAATCCTGCAAGTAACGGTAAAAGAAATACCAGTTCCTTTCCGGTATGAATGTGTTTGCTCTTTATTTGTCGACCGGCAAATTACTTGCACGTCCTTATTTTCAGATTCCAGCATATGCCATGGCTTAAGGCATGCATGGCCTATGACATCTGTCTCTGAACACTGACACATATATACCCCTATCTTTCCCATGGCATGCACGTCTTATTCCATTTTTTATTTTCCGAGCGTGTCGACGGTAACTTATTATCTGTCTTTTTTTTTCTGAAATTAATATGGGCGTTATGATTTCAGGTGAGAGAATTGGAGACCGATCCGCTATTCAATTCCGGGCGCGGATCTGCGTTAACGGCCAAAGGGACGGTGGAGATGGAAGCGAGCATCATGGATGGGCCGAGGAGGAGATGCGGGGCTGTATCCGGATTAACGACGGTGAAGAATCCGGTATCATTGGCACGCCTCGTCATGGAAAAGTCTCCTCATTCCTATCTCGCCTTCTCCGGCGCTGAGGAGTTTGCCATGCAACAGGTGTTTAATAAAAAAATTATTACGAGATCAAAATAGAAAACCGATTCACATTCCTAAAACATTTTTGATTTTTCCGCTTCGAAAATGGTTAACTTTTACATGCAAGTGTCCCGCTTCGGATGGACCATGTTCAGAATTCTGGACGAGGCCCATATGGAGATGAGGGAGTGCGCAGTTTTGTCTGAGTTCACGTACGACGTATTCCAAGCTATATTATATCTTGTGTGTATGTTAGCTTAGATAGAATAAGCTTTTTTTATGTGAATATTAATGTTTCCGCATGCATACTTTGGTTTATAAGGGCGTGGAAGTGGTGGACAATGAATACTTCATAACGGAGGAAAACATGGGGATGTTGAAGCTGGCGAAAGAGGCGAACACGATCGTGGTACGTTCATCTTAGAGTTAGATATTCTCGTTTTTCTTAAATAATCAAAAAATATAACAGAATCAGGATGATTCCAACAATTAAAATAATAGAGAGAGAGATTTGTTTCTGATTAAAGGATAATAATCCGGTAGTGGAGTGGAGGGCATACTAATTTAAATTTGATTTAATGAATAGTAAGAAGTACGAACTGGTTATTGTCATGTGCGTTGCATGGGTGTAAGAGCGACAGGCACTTAACATCTCCAGATCAGTTTCTGGCGATAGGTCGGTCGGGGTCCCTCTCCCTTCCAGAGTCCCTTTTCCTGGGGGCACTTTTTTCAGTCCCACGTATTCATCACCGTCCGTCAGTAGCCACTGCCCACTAGCCAGTTGGGGTGGGGGGCTTATACCTGATTTCTGTCTTCCTCTCCTTGTGGCCGGCCCTCAGGGGCTTCTTCTGGTTCTGGGCTGGAACCATGTGTTGGTGGGGTGCCTTTTAAGCTTGATCAATTGGTGTTGATTTGTGAGGTCACCAATGAGGCTGGGTTCATGGAATAGCGACTCATCTTGCATGCAGGACCTTTGGGGTGTTCCGTGGGGTTCATGGAATCTCGACTCAACAGCTGGAGATTCAGGATTACGGATCCTTGGGGTCCCATCTCCCATGTGAATTGAGACTTGTGTAGAAGGAAGGGGTACTAGACTTTTAGGGTTGTTCCGTGACCCTGAGCCAATAATTGTCGCTGGTCATGTCTTCTCGTTTGGATGTTATTTGAAATCCTTTCCTAATCGCGGACTTTAACACCGTCTTTGGTTATGCTACAGTTCGATTACAGGATTCCAGCCTTAGGTCTGGAAACGTGTAGCGCCGGTGCTGGCGCGGTGGAGAACGCGTTGCAAATGAATGGACTCCCAATCAGCATATACGCACCCGAGACGGTGGGTTGTGTGGTGGTGGACGGGCAGGGGCGATGTGCAGCAGCCACTTCTACGGGGGGTCTTATGAACAAAATGTCCGGCCGCATCGGTGATTCCCCCTTGATAGGTGCAGGGACCTATGCTTGTGATATCTGCGCTGTGTCATGCACCGGAGAGGGCGAGGCCATAATACGTGCCACTCTGGCCAGAGATGTAGCGGCTGTGATGGAGTACAAAGGTCTGGAGCTCCAAGACGCGGTGGATTATGTGATCAAGGAAAGGCTGGACGAGGGAAAAGCGGGGATGATCGCTGTCTCCAGGAATGGGGAGGTGGCTTACGGGTTCAACACAACGGGAATGTTTAGGGGGTGTGCCACCGAGGATGGGTTTATGGAAGTTGGTATTTGGGAGTAGTTTTTCTTCTTTTTGTTTTTTTATTTGCAACTTAGATGCAGACGAGTGTTAAAAATGTAAACGCTCCTTCCTACGTGTTCTTGGGAGCCTACTCTTATCATATCCCTCCGTGGCACCGTCTATGCCCTCAAGGCTCAAGCTACTTGTAATACTTTCCGCCCTCTGTTGTGATCTCTTGTGCTTTTTTCCGGGCCAGGGCCCTCGGCCTCTGGCCTGTTACTTCAATAAAAAAGTCGCTGGAGATCCATTATATTATATTACGATCACGCAATGGCTAATGTTTTACATTTTTATAAGTCGTCAAGGTTGAGATTAATTCAATTCTACAAATTCGACACTTATTTGTTATACATACATGTCTCTATTTAGGGAGAGCTTTATTCTCGAGTTTTTCGAGGTCTTTTCAATCTCTCTGTTCGTCGTCCGCTTTCTATTCTCTTTCTTTTGTTTCTTGTCTTCCCTCCCCTGCTTTCATTCTTCGTTCTTCCTCATCTGGTTATTTTAATTGGTGTTATTGGCAATTCTCTGTACTTGTATTAATTTCTTAAATGAATGAAATATGCTTCAAAACAAACTTGTGATTGGATATCCAGGCCCAATAAGATGCAGCCAGCAGCTTTGCTTGTGTTCCCCTGGCCTGACCCAATACGTTGCCTGAGATGATTAGGTGTACAACGCTTATGCGCATGGAAACAATTTTATGGCCTGAATATATGCTGTTCTTTTTTGGATGCTCAGTGTTGGAGCAAAGTTGGAACTTGGAAGTGCTGTCACAAGAACCAGAAGTGTAAAGACGATTCCATTTTCAAGGGGCTTCTGTATCGGTTGAATGAAGGGTTCCTAAACAAATTTTCATGTTTTTCTTGTACTTTTTGTCTTCTATATTTTTATTTAATACTTAATGAGTAAATTTTAAGTCACAGTTCAACCCAGCACAAGCACAACGATCCATTTGCCACCCTTAAATAGGAGAAGCAATTTAGCACATGCGCACTTGTTACATGCTCTTTTTGTTGGGAGGCCCATATTTGTTGGTACTGAAAAGTGATGCGCTTGAATCTTGACGAACTCTCCCTCCCCTCCTTTGGGCTTTTGGGAAACAAATGCTGCTCAGGAATGGATGATTTGTAGGTTTATGTTCAAATTCCATGGAAAGGACTACAATTTCAAGGCTGTTCCTTCCCAACTGTCATTAGTAATGGGCTAATGGCAGGCCAGAGAAGATATTGGGTCTTGAGCCTTTTGTTTATCTTAAGTTCTAACGCATTAAATTAGCAAAAGATCGCCATACGAGAGTAAGAGTGCGATTAGTTTTCCCATTCAAAAACCATGGAGACGACGTTTAGCCGTTTAGTAATCTTAAATGTGGGGAATATTACAGTTGTTCTAACGCATTAAATTAGCACCGCCCATTTTTGCGGGTTGTGGGTTGACACAATTTTTTAGAAAATTTTGAAAAAAATAATAAAAATTTAAAATAAAGTAATAAGGTAGAAAATAAATTAAAAATTGCAATAAACTTCAAATAAGATAATATAATAATATTATCTCTCTCTCTCTATATATATATATATATCAAAACTGGTCCTACCATGTCAGTATGTCTCTCATTTGAGAGAAGCTATTTATCTATTTTCTCCATTTTTTTTTAATTTTTAATTTTTTTAATTCTCTATTATTTTTGAAACAACCAAGGAGAAGTACTTTCTCAATAACCTAAATAATCTCTTCTCCTAAAATTACTCCTAAACTACCTCCCCCATTATCCCCCACTTTCTCCAAAATTATCTCTAATTCCTATTTATCTTTTAAATTATCTCTAATTCCTATTTATCTCCAAAATTATCTCTAATTTAGTAGAGAGTTTCTCTTCTAAATTCACTAATTCCTATTTATCCTCTCCCCTACTTTTTATCTATATCTATCTAAAGAAAGTTTGGATTAAAAAAATTAAGAATTATTTAAATATTCTAACAAAATTATAAAATAACTTTAAAATATTTATTAAAAACATAAAAAAATAATTTTATATTTTTACAAAATATATAACGAAATTATGTAATAAAAATTTAAATTATGTTTTTCTAAATTATCAATTTATTTTTTTTAAATATTTAATAATATGTAATAGCTGTAAATAAATAAAATTCAAATAATAAAAAAATTTAAATATTTTATAGATTATTTAAATATTTAAATCACTAAATATTTATCATAACTAGATTTCAAATAGTTAAAATAACGAAATTATGTAATAAATTTAAAAAAATTTCTTCAAAGTAGAAAAATAATTATAACATAATAGTTAAATTAATAATAATTTAATATATTACAAATTTAATAATGAAATTATGTAATCATAGTTTAAATTATGATTTTATGGATAATTAAATTCAATAAACAATTAATACTTTAAGTATTTAAATAACAAAATATTTAACATAACTAGATCTTAAATAGTTAAAATAAATTAAATTTAAAAAAATCTAAAAATAGAAAAATAATTATAACATAATATTGAAATTAATAATAATTTAATATTTTTACATAATATTGTAAATAATTAATTTCACTTATATCAAGTAATAAWTYRAGAAAATAACTTTCAAAMAAATARTATTTATTAATAATAATTTTAAACTCTTAATCTGTATTTATTATATAATTATATATACTAAAATTAATATTTATTGTCTTTTGTGATAAATGTATTTTCAATAAGTATGTATAAATTTATTTTGTTTAGTTATTTAATATAAAATTTTCAATAATTATTGGAGATTAAATTACTATTGTTGCAATTTTTAAATTTAACTTATTGTACTTATTGTATTTATTTGTGTTTATGTTATATAAGTTATTGATTAATATTTAGTAGAGATTAAACTATTATTTGAGATTATACAATTTATTGACTAAGTTAATATATTTTTAGTACTTATTATATTTTTGTAATTTTTGTAATTATTGTAGTTTTCATTATATATATTTTCAATAATTTTGTATTTTTGCTATAAATTTTCAATAATTATTGGAGATTAAACTATTGTTATTTATTAGAGACAAGACTATTAATTTAGCTGAAATTATGACTGTTCATGAGTTGGTTCAGTGCGGTCATAGGCTATTTGGTCAACCAAATTGACTTGGTCAGGTTAGGGAGTTGGTTAGCTAAAACTGACTAACCTTTTGTGAAAACCGACCCACTCAAGTTGTATTGGTTTGGGACAATTTTTTGATTTGGTCAATCTGTTCAAAAGATTTAAACTTAAAAATTACAGTGTGATTGTTAAATAATAAATTTATGATATAAAACATTTTAGATTAAGAAATATGGGAAAATTCTCACTTTTTCATATTAAAAATTATATTTAAAATATAAAATATTAATATATATCCATGGTTAAGTCGTTCGATTTTGGTTAGTTTACAAATGGCTAAAGTGGAACTGATCCAACTTGGTCGAATTGGGAAATTTTTGAACCAAAGCCATCCTAAAATACTAAAAAACCAACCAACTCGGGTTGGGTTAATTGGGTTGGTTGGTTTCATCAGTTTGATAAATAAACCTAACTGAAATTAATTATTGTTATTTTGTATTATAAAAAATTTATTAAAAGTAGTATATAAAATATGAATAATTATTAATTATTTAAAAAGTTAAAAATATAAAACAATTATATACTCTTATGTGTTTCTATTACGGTCATTTATTAGAACACACTTTTAGGGATGACAATTTCCCTATCCCCGACAGGGACCTAACTTCCCTGACCCAATGGGGTTGGGGATGGAGATTGTTTTGGCGGGGTGGGGGTGGGGACGAGGATTAATAGGAATCCCCGGTCGAGGTCGGGGTCGGGGATGGGGATTGAGGTCCAACTGAATGGAAATTTATTAAATCTTTTAATTAACAATAATAGAAATTTACCATGTGGTTGATACTCAATATATCATTTTGATCATTTCTATCATCAAATTGAATATTGGGTTGACGGAGACTATTTTCAAAACTAGATCAAACCAGATGGTTAGACTTTAAAAATTGGGAGTCGGACACCGTTTCACCTCAAAACCGCTTTATGTCCAAAAGCTGTTTATTTGGTTAGTGAACCACTGACCTAGGCGGTCGAACCGTCAACCTGGACAACAATTTTTGTCCTTTTTTTGTTTTTCTAATTTTTTTGCCAAAGCGGGTCATCCATTCAGACCAAACAATCGGACCGTTCGACCCCAGAACGGTTCCCTATCCGGTCCAATTTTAAAAACCTTGGACAAGGAGCTGGTGCCTTGCCTTGCGCTTGGCTTGGTGTGTGGCATGGCTTGGCCCAAGGCCTAACCCATGGACCAGCCCAACCCACGGCACGGCACGGCACGAGCCTGTACGGGCTCAGATCGTGGGCCGTGCCAAACCAACCCCCCAAATTATCCTAGAGGAGGGAAGCCTGGCCCGGGACACCTCGTGGGCCAGCATGACACGACTCGCACTTTGTGCGGCCCTATGCAGGTCGTGTTGTGCCAACCCAGCACAACCCAATTTACACTTCAACTTGAACTTGCCCAATACTGAGGACGAGGTAGGGAAATTCGAGGATTCTCCGTCCTTGATGAGGAGTGGGGTGCCTTGCCCCTGAACTCACCCGACATTAAGGAGTGGTTACCTTGCCCTGAACCCGTGTGACAATGGGGACGGGGCGAGGATGGGGTAAAGTGTCTTGACTATGGGGCAGGGAAAGGGATGGGGTGCCCTGCTCTTAACCCACACTGTTGTCATTCCTATATAATTGTTAATTATTGGTGGAATTAATAAAAATGTTATCTTTTATAATTATTTTTATTTATCTAAAGTTAATCAAAATTTCATTTAAAAATAATAAAAAGAATAAAAATTATTAAAATTATTACAAATTATTAATAAAACTAAGTTTATAATAAATATTTATTCATATTCAATTAACAATAATTATTTTTATATATCAATATTAAATAAAAAATAAAATTATTAAATCTTTCAGATTTTCCCATATATCACACGAGTCCCTGCTAATATCTATATATATACCGTACCGGTCCATGGGGTTCGAATTTGGGTTTGGCACGGCCTCCTGTACCGGCCCACGGGGTTTGGGTTGGGTTTGGCACGGCCTCCTTTATCGTGTTACACCCAGATAAGTCATTCGAATTGAGTCAATTGACCTACAACCGTTTAAATTTCATGGATCCGTGGCATAAAGAAAAAGAGTAGTCATTGAAGT